TGATTCATATTTTTCATTAAACTGATTGAAAAGCAAAACTTTTTGCAATATTTCAATTTTGCTTTGGATGCTCGTTTCCCATAGAGCTTTGATTTGTGGTTCTGTCCTAAGGGAATTCAAAGCATTTCCTTGGAGTAAAGCGTAAGAAGTTTATGAAAATATTTATATATTTATATAATATGCAAATAAATATCAACAACATTTATAATCAAAGGTTGATAGACTTTTGAGGCTACATAAGTTTATGAGAATTACATAGAAGGGTGATTATTTGTTTCATTGTGTGTTTTAAGAGGGTGAATTTGTGCATGAGCATCAGAGATTTTATATATAATATATACATAGATGCGCTATTTTTTATAAAATATATATATAAAATAAAATAATTAATTTGGTAGAAGTATGTATATGAACCTGATCCTCAGAGATGCTTGAAAGGACATAGCTTATTATTATCATCCAAGATTCAGTCATGGTCCTTTGTATGTTTTCATTCAATTTTTCATTGTTGCCTTTCTCTGGTCATATTTCGCTCAGTTTGCGCTGTTGCTATAAGCTGCTTTACTTCTATTTGTTGTCTGCTGGGTAATTGCTTTAAATCGTATTCAATGAGCGAAAAAATATGCGCTGCAGTTTGAAGTTCCGCTTCGGCGTCCTTTTGTTGCATTACGCATCCGCCACGTGCGCAGGGACCGAAAAAATACAAAAATACAAGACAGTTCTTACGCTTTGACAGGCAAAGCAGAAATGTCATGTGGATTGGGAATCGGGCAACTGGGGAGCGAGGATAAAGGGTAGCGCGTCTGCTATATGCAACATGCAATATGCAATATGCATCATGCAGCATGCAGCATGCTGCATGGAGGATACGGAATACCGAATGCATATGCCAGCTGACATAACATGTAACTCATGCTCCATTTGTCAACGGCGGCAGCGACATGTGAAAACCATTTGCAGCTCTGCTGGTTGCTGTTGTTGGCATCGGCCTCTGATTGCTGTCTCTGTCTGTCGCTGTGCGTATGGCCATCTCTTTTCAGCCGTCTGCTATGCGCTCAATGCTGTAACAAAAGATGAGTTGCACTTGAGCATGCTAAAATGCGTTATTAAGTGCATAAATATGCAATGCGCACAGCCCTCGCTCGCTCGCTCGCTCGGCGAACAATGGGGCCCAGGTGAAACTGGGCTGGGGCACAGGTGAAAGCAAATGTGCGAAGAGCTTTTGAAATTTAATAAAATGCAAATGCAAAGCCTGCGAAACAGACATGTGCAATTCAAAACTTGCACAGACATGTGCTTAGCCGCCGCCACCCACTCTTGGAACCCAATGACCTCTACCCCTCTACCGCTCCATCTCTCTCTCTCTCGCTCTTTGCGCACGCTAATGAGTCGTTCCACCCTCCGCCCATGTCATTCATTCCCTCTTCTGTCTTTAGCCTCGTCACAAAGGTAGCCAAACGACAATGAATTATGCAGCATGCCCAAGGATCAAGAAAGGATGCACTGAAGCGGCTGCCCCCAAAACAAATTGCGGTAATGGCAAATACATGTACACTATCACATACACACACACACACACTTACGCATACACAATTACGAGCTTAAAATACTTTTTTAATTATTTTAAATGCAAATTGTGCAAATAAACTAAGCGAAGCAAAAAATTAAAAAAAGTATGCTAAGAAAAAATCGATAATTCCAACTTTTGGGCTGTGCTTGAAAAGGGATCAAAAGGTAAGCACGTGCACCATGCTAGCGGGCAGGTAGACACTCATATAAAACATACACACACATGGCAGTTGTCATCGTCACGAGACACATACATAAGTTGCCTGTGGCTTGGAGCAAAAGATAAAGGCAAAGAACAAAAAAATAAAAAACATGAGACGTGCTCTAGACACTCTGTAGCCAGAGCTACCCTAAGCCTAAGGGCCCTACCTTTCAAAATGAGTATCCCAAAATTGTAATACTTGGAAGTTGAAATTGCGATATGAAAAGCTACAATACATATTTGCTTAGATTGAAGCTATCAAAGTTAATATTCAAAATCCTGTTCCTCAGTTCAATCCCTGAACAACTAAACGGATTTTCACAGTCCTTAACAATTTCCTCTATATAGTTTTTTTTTTTTTTTTTCAAATATATGCTGACTTGAGTCTTAACTTGTTACTGGAACTGGGAACCAATATATATCCAATTTAGTCCACACTCAGAACCATAAGAGACCTGTTCATTCAAATGAATATTATTGACTTCTATATGGGTTAGCTCTTTACAGGTGCTAATCCATCCATCTGGAACGATTTCAATAGAGTGTACCATCTAGATTGATGTGGCTTTTAAGTTTTCGATATAGACCTTGAAGGAAATACATGTTATATGGAACAATATCTAACTCTACACCGTTCTCATGTCGAGACCCTCTAAAAGTGAGAAAGAATGTTGCAGACGTGCGTGACTGACTGCATAATTCTTGGGCATATTCCCAAGACAATTTAATGAATGAATTCAAAAATCAATATTTGTGATTGATTGGGTCGATTGGGAGAATCTACGTACTTGATAAGGTGGGAGTGCCCCGAAGTGAATTAGTACACATTTACTTCGAAGTTAGTACACATTCAGCCCAAGTCTTGGACTCTAGCTATAATAGTGGCCAAGGGTAGGACAGACAGACGAGCATGACACAAAACCTATATGCTCTTTTCAGCTCGTGAGCGAGTATTACTAAAAGACAACGCATAGCCCTTTTTTCCGTAATATACGCAAGCATCAGATCCTTCGAGACCCTCAAGTTGTCTGCCCTTAGACCTTGGCTCATGGCTCTCAGCTGTCGACCGTCGACTGTCGACCGTCGACCGTCGACCGTCGACCGTCGATTCTCGGCTGACGGTTGCCAGCCAAGCCTTTCACACTTGGCCCAAGTGGCAAAATGTTGTTACGTGCGCATTAAACCATATTTTAAGTTATTAAGTTATTGACAAAAGCACACGTCACCCCTTGCCGAGGGGGGTCTACGTATGTGTGGGTGTGTGTGTTGTGGCAGGGGCATGGGCAGGGGGAGGGGGTTTGCCCATGGCTGACAGTTGTGTTGCCAGGCCTGACAGCTGTAGGCGTGGCTGTGGATGACACTTGTGCGCTGCTTATCCTCAGTTGTTTACAATGCCAATGCCACGCCTTATATCCACACACACACACATACACACACACAGCCATAACGGCTGTATTATATATGTCTGCACATAAAAAAATAACTGTAAGCGCACACGCATAAAAAGAAATTTTCAATTTGGCCCAAGCTGCCGCCAACGGCGCCTGCAGCCCGGGACTGCCCTGCCACGCCCCCTACCCTTTTTCATATTTTTGCGTCCGCCTTGAAAATTTCTCTTAGCATTTTTCGTCTGTTGCCAAAATTTGTTAACTTCTTGTAAATTTTCCGTCTTTGCATTAAACATAAATGCCGCTTGTCCCTCTGGACGGAAACACGGCGTCTGTTGGCCATGTCGCTTAGCCACGTTTACGCCACTGGCTTCTGGCTTGGACATTTGTATTTGGCTTTTTGTTCGCCCACATATTATCTGCGTTTTATTACCGTTGTTGCCAGGTGCTGCAGTTAGCCAAAGTTTAGTCGCTGCCTCATTGAACATGGTTTCCTAGCTGGGGAATTGTTTGCTTGCTTTTCACTTCAACAGTCACTTATAAAAGTATGTTATCATGTATGTTGTGTTATGGGTTGTTGAAATCAGATTAGAAGAGGGACTCATTTAGATTTTGAATATATATTTCTAATCAAGATGTGGATTTCTTTGGTATATGTTAACTCAACGGACCCATCTGGCAACTCTATGCATATAATATATGTCTATGCCTGATCCAAGGCTCAGAGCTCTACCTTAAAAAGCATATATCTTGAATTTATATTTATTTTATCTATTTGATACAACAAATTATACACCAACTGCCTTTAAAGATTGTGAAAATAAAACAAAAAGAACTTTTTAATCCTCACTCATATTTTTCCACATCATTTCTATAGCTCAATCTTAATATTAATATTTATATTTTAACTAATGGTTTATATGCATCATTAGAAAGTGTTGCTTCGTGTTTTAGCTCTTCAGTCAAGTCTCATGTAAACCTATAGAGCAGTAAGTCACTTTCTACTCCACCCAATGTAATTCCCTCGCATGTACGGGTATTTCGTCGTCGTTCATTGCCAACAGTTGCAATGTTGTTGCCAGTTTTATTGCTGCGCTGTTTGCCTGCAAATGGCAGGAAACAAAGCGCATAACATACAGTTTTTGGGACATGTTTTAGAGCAGAGCAATAAGCCAGAGCGTGGTGGGCCAGGGGACTGCTTTGGTGGGGGATTTGCTGAAATAGTTATGCGAAGGCATCTGCGATTGCCCTGTGGTCGTCGTCGCACTGGACATGATGGCCTTCAGAGTACCAGCAGCATCAACAGCATCAACAGCAGCAGCCGCAGCAGTTAATTTTCTATATAGCCAAAGAGAAAGAAGATGAGGTTTTAGAACATTTTACAGCATGTAAATGAAACGTGGAGGGCACCGTGTGGGGGAGGGAGGGGCAGTGGGGCAACAAGCAAATAAACAGTGCCCTGTGCTGGACAACTGCTAAAGAAAAAGAAATGTGTGTGTATAAGTGTGTGTGTGTGTGAAAGTGTAAGTGTGTGGTGTACATACGTCAGCAGACTTTTTTTCACTTCTTCCATTTCCTTTTGTTTGCGCTGCCAAATCAACCACCGCAGTCGTCGTCGCCGTCGCCGTTGCCGTTGGCGTCTCAGTCGCTGTTGACGCAGATAATTTGCCGAGTTAGAGAGCGAGCGAGAGAGTGAGTGAGAGAGAGAGAGAGGGAAAGTGAGTTTGAGTTAAGAGAGCGGGGTTGAAGCGAGTGCCATGACCTACTTTTGCCACAACTTTTTCAATTTGTTTGTCATCGACTGACTCTCTCCGTGTATGTGCATGTGTGTGTGTGTGTGATAGACTGTTAACTTGGCTTAAGCCAACTGCCTTTATTTGATAAAATATTACAATATTCGCAAATGTGTGCACCTAATCGCTACTAATTTAAAGCTTTTACAATCCTTTTGATTAACTAACATGTGGTTAACAAGGTTAACTATGCGACAGCAAAGAGCATCAGGCCCAGCATCGCATAGAGCCGCTGTGGCATTGCCCGCTGCTGTTCGAGCACAGCATTCGCAATGCTCGCCTCGGGCACATGATCGGGCAGCATATCTTCGGGTCGAATGGGCGCCACAGTGGCATCCTCCTCGGAGTCGTCATCCACATCAGAGTCCTGCGGGGACTGCGTCGATTGGCCACCCGTCATCAACAACAGCTGCATGCGCTGCAACGGTGTCAGATGAACCGTGCGATCGATCTGCTGCTTTTGGGGCTCCAGGAAGGGCTTGTATTTAGCTGGCGGACTGTCCACGCCTCGATAGCCGTAGACAAACATTTGCACGAACAGCGAACTGACGTTGAAATCTGTTATCGTTGCCTTGATCGAGCTCGCCGAATAATGACTGTACTCGGCCACGGGCGGCATGTAGTTCTCAGCAGTTGGTACCTTATCCAAGTAGTGCTGATGATCGGAAAGTCAAAAGATTAGCTCAGAAATATCGAATTTATCGTTGGTCCCACTCACATCGAAGATAACAAACTTGATGTAGGTGATGTAATCGCTGTCGATGTAGTAGAAAGTGACAGTTTGATTCGACTGCGTTTTGGCCTCGCCCGATGATGTTTGATATGTTTCAAAGATCAAGGTGTCACCTGTGGAAATAATAGAAATAATAGTGGTATGATAATAAATGAACATTTTTTTCAAATAGTACATTTGAAGACAAGATGTTGTTGTGTTTAAACTTACGAATGAAGTTAACTATAAAGTAACCTAAGAGCGCCTAAGTTACGATTTATCATCAAGCATGCAAAAATACCTATCGATAATTATCGACATAAACAAATTAACATACATCGAATCAGTATAATTAACTAAAACTCTTCTATACCTCAAAACTGAGCATTGAAAGCCTAGAAGCCTTATAGTAAAGTAAAGTTATCGATAACTTTAATAACGGATCTGTGAACGATATGCTTAAATTATATATGGTATACAAATATAGTAGAGGACAATCAAGTAATATTAAGCTATAGCCTGTTTAATACTGAAGTAAAATATTTAAGGCAGGTATAAAGCTTCTCAAAACCAGGGTAGAGCTTTTCGTTTCTTTGGCAATTGTATTGTGTAAAGTTCATATAAAGTATATAATAATATCTGATATAGCATAAAGAGTACTTGGACTAATTATTAAGTTTACTGCCTATTAATTAATAATCAATATTGGCAAAGAGAAAAAATCATCGGGATGATTCTCAAACAGATATACATGAGTAACAGTCAGTTATCAAATGAATTTGACTGTCCGTACTGCCTTGAATATATAAGCTCTCTCTCTCTCTAGTTACCTTCTTGCCGTTCTCCAATCTCAATGATCTTGTCCTTGTGCTCAAAGTCCTCGATAAAAACGGGCGAATCGGTGCTGTCCTCATCAAACTGTTTGGTCACTGAATCCTCATGGTTGAGGCTCTCGAAAGGCTGGCTTATTTCCTCGACCTCCTCGTAGTCATCGTAGGGCTTCACCTCGCCCTCAAAGTGTGAATCGCGATTGAGCAGCAATGCAGGATTTAAATTCAAAATGGTCTGGTTAAAGCCAAAGATCGTGATGACCACATCAAAAGAGGCCGACAGATTTTGGCTCTGTTCGAATTCTTCCTCGAATTCACTCTGATTGCCAGGGGGGACAAGGCTAACGAGGCCCACGATCAATGTATCCACATAGCTCACTTTCACCTCGGCCGAAATTTTCTGCAAATTAGAAAATCGGAATTCCATTGATCGAAAACAGATTCACTTCTAAGCAATCTTTCAATTAGTCGTCGACCTAACTGGGAATTCGATCAAGCGTTAAGAAAATAAAATTGTTTACCGCACCTCGTCGATCAAATACACAACGTGCTGATTCTGAGGGAATCTGCAACATATTTTTTTTTTTACTATATACTGTATGCTATACATATATATACATATGTATTTATAATTTTCTTGCGAAACCTCACGTCATAAGTGCCTCATTTCGTTATTGAAAATACATTTTAAATGTGAAATAATGCCATGCCTCCGCACCTCAGGGACTTTACCCATTCGCTGGCTAAGTAGCCGCGCCAATGTGCCAAATTTGCAGTTGATTTATCATATGTACTAGACGGCTATATACGAGTCGAAATACCCTAACATGTAGTATACACTAGCACGCTTTATAGAAGTAGCTTTTGAAAGGCATTATCATATTTCAATGATTATTGCATTTATTAATTTGCTTGGCATTTAATGTATCTGAATTAAAAATAAGTGATGTGTTTTTCCTTATAGGTAATAAGGGAATTTTCTATGCATTTATTATATCTTATTGACAATCAGAAATCTATTTCTAGAAGTTTCATATCTTCATGTAAAGTTTCTAGGCAATTTGTAGATGTATGAAACAGTTGAATGTTGCATTTGAAACTATAATTTTCAAAAAGTTTAAAAATAATAAGGTAATTATTTTTATTTATATTCCTACAAGTCTACCTGATATACCTACCTGATAAATATATTCAAAAACTTTCTCATTTTTCTAACCGTACTCATTTTAATTGCCGATATTCTTTGAATATGAACTAATCAAGGGTTTGTACTAAACACACTGAGTCTTAGGAATAGACATAGTTATGATTCCCTTCTTGAATATAAATATTGGATATGTGCAATCAGTACAAACTTCTAATACTTATATACGATCCATCATCTTAAAACTATTCTTAGATTTTCTATGTCAATATTCATATCAAAATTCATGCTGAGATCTCAGAATACAGATATGTAGCTATATAGTTAGAGATACAGTCATAAATATAGGTTTAGATATATATGTATGCCAGTCTCAAACTGGTAGTAAAAAATGCAATTATAATATGGAAATAATGTGAAATGAGGTAAATCCATTTATTATATGGTAAATAGTTAAATATTTTCTGGAATTTGACAGGTTTTTTTAATATACCTCATTATATCCGGGCTGTTAGCTCTGTTATATTTAATATCAGTTGGAAAGTTTTTTTGTAGCTACATCTGGCAACGACAATGGGTTTATATAAGCAATTTAGACTTTAAATAATACGAATATTTCAATTTTTTTTATTACATTTTTTAATTAGCATTTTGCGTCTGCGACTCGAACTAATAATCCAACTTGTTTCTGATGCCATAAAATTGGCCAAACCAAAATGTTATGCCAAACATTGGGTCGCGAGAACTAAATGTATAAATAAATACATATCTGCATGGCGCGCTTGCTATTTGTTGTCATTTAGATAATTTGTATTTGGTTTTGTTGTTGTTTTAGTTCTTTTCGCTCTCACACTCTCTGTCTCTGTCTCTGGGCATAGTGCGGGAAAAGAAGCAGCAAAAAAAAAAAAAAAAGCAAAAACCAAAATATAGTTCGTTTTCTATTTTAGGCTGGTCATATGCAAAAATAAAAAAAAAACAGAAAGGAAAAATAAGAAACAAATTTGAGTACACTATAGAAAGTGCTTGACTTGCAAATACCCTGGCAACTGTGAATTTGTGACTAGTTTTGTACTGAATGATCAGAATGAATGCTCAAGAGAATTTATAGTAGTTTTAAGGTTTTTTTTTTTTTAATTCTTATATGAATATAATAACAGAATTCTATTACCTCTTCAATGCCTTATTTATGATATTATTCACTACATGCATTTGGCTGTTTGACATATGCTGACATGTGTTTGAAATTGAAAATCTCTACTTCTTCTGGCTTATAATTCGATGTTAATTTATGAATTCGGACATGTGTATACATTATAATTTATATATATATGTAGTATACCAAGTCTGCAATTTGATTTGTTTATACTTGAGTAATATCTTTAGACAGCTCGCTTTTGATCTCATATATGAAATACACAATTGAATAATTCGTGTTCGTTTGGGCGATGGGCAATGGAATATATCAAGTATCATAACTCTTGCTCTTATGAAGAATTTTAATTTGTTATACATTTTAATTGATTTCATAGCAAAATCGATGCACTTCCTATATCAGGACCTGTCAGCACAGTTCTTTAGCGACTCAGCTTTTTAGCTAATCTACCCCTTGAAAATAATATATATCGAGAGCACAACTCCTTTTCACTGTTACATAGACTATCACAAAACTTTGATACCCCACAATGCTACATACAGTGAGTTTAGGGTATACCAATTTCAAGTCTCTAGCACTTGTAATTTACGACCCGTCTATATAGAGCGAATCGACTAGATCGACTTGCCAGTCGAACAGAAGTGTATATAATTTATACACTCAGCTATGTTGTCTGTTCCCCTGTACATAGACAAGTCGAATGTGCCCCATTTAATGTCATTCAATTGTTTCATTGGGTTCCGTCAAAAACTCACTTCCTCCGACACGATCTCAATGTAGGTGATGGGCTCCGCAATGTTGTAGTTGAAGGCGACGCTAGCCGCCTGTCCAGCGCCCGCTGGACGCGAATGCTGCAAATCCTTGAGCAATAGCTGATCGTTGGCAATGCGGCGACCCACGCCAAAGTAGCGCTTGGCCAGAATGCCGCCCTGGGTCAGCGATATCAGGAAGACCAAAATGAGGGTTCGATACATTTTCGTATGCAATATTAGGCAAAACAACTAAAAGGGGAGACACATGCTCCGCCTACAAATCGGAAAATGTGTTCTTAGAACTCGTCGCGGCAAACGAAGGCGTGCAACTGATGTCGAAGAATTGCTACGAGTCGAATCTGGCTGCCTCAAGTGTTGACTGATCTACAAAGAGAGAGAGAGAGCGCATGAGAGTGAAGGAGAAAAGCCAGATGGAGCGTGAGTGAGCATGTGCAGATCTTAGACACGAGCGAGAGCGTGAGGGCGAGCACGATATGCCCTGCAGTTGCTCTGCTAAATATATGAATTTGCTCTCTCTCTCTCTCTCTCTCTCTGTCGCTCTCTCTCTATCCTTTTTCTCTCTTTATGCACTTTTCTCTATTGATTTAGCTGAATTCTTGTGGTTAGCAGTCAAATCGTGTACTTGACCCCAAAAGTTGTTGTTGTTGTTGYTCGCCCTCCCACCAAAATGTTGTCCATGCGACCCTCAAAAATAGAATCGCGCTGACCAACAACCTTTTTGCATTGCGTTTAAATCTGTCACAGTTTATATATATACATATATGTATATATATAGATATATACCAAAAATAGGTACAAATTAGCATGTAGCATAAAAATACAAGCAAATATATATATTTTTAGCTCTGCTAAGGATTAGAGTGTTTATGCTGTGGCTTAAGCTGGGATGAGTTGCGGTGCAGCATTCGTTTGCTAAATAGGAGATGCTAAGATGATTTCTTTTAATAATAATATAGTTACAAGGAAATTTAGTAACTTTGTATTCAATTTCAAATTAATTCACTCTTTGATATAAATACAGATTTTTGTGAAAGGTATTTTACAATAAATTAAGATTTTAGGCTAAGAAGTAGGCCTTTTCTGCTTAGATATTTTTTTACATATTGAATATGCGATAACATAATTATTTGTGGGAAAAAACAAAAGAATAGAAAACCTCAGAAAAAACAAAAGCGATATTGTAGGACATGCCCGACTTCTTACAATGTTTCATAAGCAGCTTACACTGCTTTTCGATTTTCCCTTGTTAATAGATCCTTATGTATAATGAAGTTTAATATTGGACGAAGTTGAAAGCTTGTATGAACATATTATAAGAACTATATAATAGTTGAATCTTTCAGTGATATAACTTTAAGTCTGCAGATGCCATAGATACCAAAAAAGATATAGAATATATAGATAACACAGAGAATTTATTCAGAATGCAGTAATTTAAGCGTTGACAATGTAGACAGCTAATACGCCCTTAATCCTTACACGAACAAGCATACCTTCAATAACAAGTAAGAAGGCTCCAGTCGAGACTGCTCGACTAGGAGATACCCTGAACCCTCCAAACTGATATTCTAATCATTCTGGACTTCTATTATGCACACATACATACACATGCACGTATAAGCACGCGCTCTGCAAACTGCGCAGCTAGCAGCGGCTGCGCTTGGGCTGCACTGCAGTGTGAGAATTTATTTGTTGAATAATTTCTTTTGTAGACATACGATCCTAATAAAACTTTTAGAGCGTAATCATGTAGCTAAAATGTGTGTCCATTCCAAAGCACAAGTCTCTAGTACTTGAAATGCGTTTTTTACAAATTTGGGGCGAAGGGGGCGTGGTATCCAAAATCTGTAAATTACAAAATCTTTGTATCTACTAACTTTATATACAACGCAAATTTGAAGTCTCCAGGTCTAAAAATGTTCAAATTAAGCTGAAAAAACAATGTCGATTTTTCGATTATTCTCGATAAAAAAGTTATCGGACGAGTTATCGAAAAAATAAAGCAAACTTGTACTGCCTATGGTATACACGAGTATGCATNTCCTGATCAAGAATATATATACTTTATGGGGTCTGCGATGATTCCTTCTGCCTGTTACATACTTTTCACAAAACCATTATACCCTGATTTCCCATTTTCAATGGGTTCAGGGTATAAAAATGATATTAATTATATATAAAAACCGCAGAGAGCTCTTAAAAAGCATTAAAGCCCAATTATTCGGCATATATTTGGCTTAAACAATTATGGAGCACAGCATTAATTAAATTGCGCATACGCCACGTGCGACCAAAAAGTTTTTATTTCACCATATTTATATTTAATTGTGCAGCGAAATGCTTTTAATTGATTTATTTGTGTGCTGGAACTTTATGCAGTTTAGTGAAATTATGCCGCTGAGCCTTATTGACGCCGCTGGGAATTTCAATTAATGCGAAACAAAAAGCAAGGGAGAGAGCGAGAGAGAGAGTGAGAGAGAGCTATATATTGAAAATTGCATTAAATTAATTAAAATTTTGTGTGCTCTCGAAATGGAGCACAGCCGCAAATTTATGGCACAAGCAACAAGCAGCATACAACATGAAACATGCAACACAACAACAAAAGCACTTTTTGTGGCCAAATGGGAAAATCTGTCTAGGCGCAGTTGATTTTTTAACCCAGCTTCCCCGGGCTGGGCCCAAGGCAGAAATTGGCAACTGTTGTCGTTGCAATCAAAGCAAATTTCCGCATTCAGCAACTTCAATGTGACAACGCCAACAAGTTGCAAGTGGCAAGTGGCAAGCGGCAAGCGGCAAGTGGCCATTGGCATTAAGTGCCCAGTTGATGGCTTTCAGTAGTGTTGCCGCTGCCTGTTTATGAAATTCAATTAAAGCATTTATGAAAATTGCATTAAAAGCTGTCAATAGCAAAACATCAAGTTACGCCGGACACAAGGCTCGACTTAAGGCCGCAGGGCACATAGAGAGAGAGAGAGAGAGGGAGAGAGGGAGAGAGAGGGAGAGAGAGGGAGAGGGAGAGAGAGAAATTGATTGGCTTAGCGCTGAAAACGATTTTCACTTCAGTAAGTCTATTATACTCGTTTACTGAATGAGTGTATTTGTTTCTGCAAGTGAATGGCTAAGCTTTGACCATTTTAGAGAGACTTTTGAGATTTGAAATTTTCTTCAACTGATGAAATTTTACTGGGAATTATTATACGCCTTGTGATAGCAGCACCTCGAGGTTTAAAATTTGAAATAAACCCTGGAATGTAGATCAAAGTATCAAGCGCCTTTTGGTGGCATTGTAAATTGGTAAACACATTGTATATGTCCTATATACATATAAATATGCAGCAGAGTGCTCATGCTTATATATGACATACATATAGGAAAATTTAATTTTTAAATTGAATAAATTCAGGCAGACATTTTAACATGTTTTCATTTGTTTTCCCTTCCATTCGGAATGCTTCGATGGAAGCGCATGTTTTTAATTGTCCCAAAATGAGTTCGTGCTTAAATGCCGAAATGTTGTTTTCTCTGTCAATTCACTTTTCGATTTTTTCTTCTTCTTTGTTTTGTTTTATTGCTCGAGTGCATTTTAGTTGCGTTTATTAAGCATTGAAAAGCTCTAAAAATATTCAAATATTGCCGATTTGTGGCCTGGAAATGATATAGCCATAAAATAGCCATCAAAACGTCGGAGAATATGAGTAAACGTTTCAGACTGCATTCAACTCAAGTATTGCTTGGATACCCTAGGTGCCAAGAGATGAGGGGATTTGATTATAAGATCAGAGACTAGATTTGAGATGGAAAACGAAAATCGGAAGATAGAAGATGAATCAAATAGAAAATAGAAACTAATTCATCGAAGGTTGAAAATTGAAAATAGAAGATAGAATATAGCAAATCATCTATTAATATATAAATCATCTATATAATAGAATATAAAATTGTAGATGGGAGATGGAAAAGAATTGAAAAGATAGAATGTATACTGTTTTATACGGCTTAGAGAGCGATAGATTTATTTACCATTAACAAATCCACTCATAGCTCATATAATAACTAATATCCTAGCCGCTACCTACAGATTTCTTAAGTCTTAAATCTTTACATATTATATATCTACTACTATATTATAAAGAGATGAAACTGTATCGCTTGGTATATTTACTGGTATATTAAGTATATAAAGTAAAAGATTAGCTTTAATCCTTTACCACTTCATATTAATGTAAGCATCAAGATATATAAGATTTATGGAGATATGGAGACTCAGATCTCTCTCTACAGGGCATCTTCTCGTTGAGCAATCCGTTAGAGCAGCCCTCGCCTAATTGTTTCTTTCTCAAGTGTTTATATGTGAATTAAATGCATATATATGTATGTATATGTTTAACATATTTATAGATAAAGTATATGGCTGAGATCGCTGATGGCCAGACGCCCATTTCGAGTGGCCCAATGAAAGGTTAATAACACTCCACAAAGAAATGCGATTTTAATGTGGAGAAGTGGCGCCGTCAATGAACGCAGCTCGTTTCAGCGGTGCCACGAAATGCAGCAATTGATTTGTTGAAATATTCTGTTTATTTATGATATAAACGTGAATTATTGTGCGTAAATTGCGGTTGGTAAGAGATGCCTGCACACACACACTCGCACACACACACGCAAACCCATGCACATCCATATAGATCCAGCTAATGTCCATTACGTAATTGCATTTGATGGCGACGTGCATCTAACGAGCTAGTAAAGCAATTATCGCGTGTCTGTGTGCGTGCGCCTGTGTGTGTGTATGAGTGCGGGTGTGTTGTCGGTGTGTGTGGGCGTGGCTTAACTGGAATCAATAAAAAGTTATGCACGCTGTCTACGCTACTCCGAGCGGAAATTGCAAAATAAATTGTTATTTTTCTCGCACACTGCAAAGTGGGGCATCATGTTTTTCTCAGAGATTCTCTTTAAGAGTCAGTTTTGTATTAGTTTTAAGTTCAATTGAACCTGTCATTCAAATGAACCATTGCGCTAAGTTGATAATCAATTCGAAGTTTAATAATAATAATAGTCCTGAAGGATTCTCTATGCTCAATTGAGCACTTAATTCACTTAGTTCAAATAGTTCATGAACCTGATGTTCAATCGAACTGGAGAGCGGTTTCTGAAGCAGACCGTCTGCTTGGTGAAGTTATTCAGCTATTCATGGATCACATGATGAGATATTCAAATGATAGTCTTTGCTCAGTCAAAACCTTATTTTTTATCAGCTCGAATTCCTAATATTATATAAATTTTCAATTTGTGTATTTCTAAAGTATGCATCATCAAACTCATTTACTTTCGAAATCACGCCCATTCGCTGTCCAAAATGTAGAGTATCTGCCAGTCATGCACATCGAATAGAATCATATTTGTCCTGGCATTTAAATTTAAACCTCGCAAATTGGATTTTTCCAGGGATCCAAATTTATTAATACTATTGACCGTTTTGGCTTAGCGGGGATTAGCCCACTCGAAGGGCCGCTGCTTGGGTCAAGTTTCTTGGGGCAACAACGGAGCGAACGAAATGAAAATTGAACTTTAAGGCTTATCACCTGAAACCTGGCACCCACTGCCAGGGCAAGCGGCCCGAGGCGAGGGGCCAATAGGCGCTCAAATGTAGGCCACACTTTGTATAAATAATCTGCAAAGCATTTGATGGAAATGCCGTTGAAAAAAGTTTGAGCTTACAAGCTGCTGGAGTAATGCGGCCCAGGGGGTGGGGCGGGTCGTGCAGCGAAGATTCTCGATAGAATTCTGGCTGCAGGCTGCAGATAAATAGCTCAAGAGGCAGATGCGAAATGAAGTTAAAGTTCGCGTGCCCCGAGTGCTGCACTGTTGTATACCCTGTAATTAGTTTAGAGGTTTTACTAGCAAATGCAAAGGGAATTTATAATTAGTTTCAGATGATTATACCCTGGAAGAGAAGCAAGAGCAATGAAGAAGCAAGAGCAATTTATAATTAGTTTGGATAGTCTATCCATGCTGAAGTTGGCTTACAAGTCTTATTAAGTTCAGCTATCGAGATGCAAAAGGAATTTGTAATTAGTTTACCCAGACTACGTGACTCGAGTATACCCTGTAATTAGTTTAAGATTGTCATGATCACAATGGGACAGTATTATTATTATAATATAATTTTTGAACCATTCTTAAGTAAAAAACGTAAATCTGCTCAGGTAAAGTATATCCATATGTGTATATACATATATATGATTATATATGTAGAGCATGAGAAGAAAACTCGATTTGTTTTATCGATTCATGCCCTATAAGCTCTGTAGCTCTCTTGAGGGAATTTCTATTAGCCTAAAGATAAATCAAAATACGTCAAATTAGTAGGAGAATTAAGTTCGTAGATATAAAGCTAAATAAGTGACAGTTTTTGGCTATGAGATACCCTGTATTTCACATAAAAATATTTGAAATCAAGTTTAATACTGAAACTTACTAAACTGAGCTCCATAGTTGAAGCTCATCTACCTCAGAGCAGAACAGAACAGAAACGGGGTATTAAAGGGAGCATACGGACTGCATACAAACATCAGTTAAGTGGAACAGCAGAGCAGTCAAAGGCAGCCACCTGCCTGCAGCGTAATCCATTTAAGAGGCGCATTTGCCGCATTTGACTGTCAATTGACGGCTGCTTAGGCGAGCTGCCAAGGCTCATCCCGTCGGCAGCTGTGCTCAAAGTGAGGGAGGGATAGAGACTTGATTTGGTTTTGATTTGGCTTTTATTCAATGCTTGCGCGCTTGTTCGCTTGCTTGCTTTCAGGATGAGGGCTGGAAGCTGAACCGCACCAACTACTATCAGGAGGGCTGGCTGGCCACGGGCAATATACGCGGCATTGTGGGCGTCACATTCACCACCTCGCACTGCCGCAAGAACATGGACTACCCGCTGCGCACCAACTACAATCTGCGAGGTCATCGATCGGACGTGAGTGAAGCGAGCACTTTGGCATCGAATGCATAATAAATCTCTTGAACTATTTCGTTGGCCGTTTCTTTCAGGTCATTCTGGTCAAGTGGAATGAGCCGTATCAGAAGCTCGCCTCGTGCGACAGCTCTGGCATCATCTTTGTGTGGATCAAGTATGAGGGTCGCTGGTCCATCGAGCTGATCAACGATCGGAATACGCCGGTCACGCATTTCTCCTGGTCACATGATGGTCGCATGGCGCTCATCTGCTATCAGGATGGCTTCGTGCTGGTCGGCTCTGTGGCCGGTCAGCGCTATTGGTCGTCCATGCTCAATCTGGAGTCGACCATCACGTGCGGCATTTGGACGCCCGACGATCAACAGGTGTACTTCGGCACCACCCAGGGTCAGGTGATCGTCATGGATGTGCATGGCGCGATGGTGTCCCAGGTGCAGCTCTCTAACGATGTGCCCATCACGTCCATGGCCTGGTCCTGCGAGAAGTTCAAAATGGAGGAGGGCGAGGAAGCCGAGCCCGGTGTAACCAATGCCGGTAAGTGAGATATCAGTTGATCATCAATCATTTGATCAATCAGTTGAGCAAACGCTATATCAATGGGTCCATTAGCTCATCAGTCTATTAGTCACTCAGCAATCATAATTTGGCTATGCCATGCTATATAAATGCACTTTGTCTGCATTAATCATCAAAGTCTCAGCTTTGGTAATATCATCAATCAGTCAATCGATGAATTATTCAGCTTATTCAATTATTCTAACGATGTAAGAATCTTGAAATGGAGTTCAATCATCATCAATCAATCAATCAATCAGTCAATCAAACTATACTTAGTCTTAATCAACTGGGACTTCTATTGTGTTATGTCATAATCCATTCTAATTGGTTTTATCTTGATCTCTGAAACAGCTCCATCAATACAATAATCAACCAATCAATCATTCGAGCAATCAATACTTATTCTTAATAAGTTGGGATTTATATTATGTTATGAAATATATAGTCCTCTCTAATTGATGTTTTAATCTCTGAATTGCTCCGTCAATCCATTAGTCTTAATAAACTCGGATTTATTTCATGTTATGCAATAGTTGTGATTGTTTTCAATCAATCAATCATTATTTAGTATTTGTCAGCTGAGATTTTTACCAGGTTATGGTAGACATAAAGCTTTCACTGTACATTCTATCAATCAGTCAATCAATCAAGCTCTAACTAGTTCATATTCTTATTCTTATTTTCGTCCTTGACCTCAGCCAAGCGCACTTTTGTGCTGGCGGTCAGCTTCCAGAATGGATATATCTATTTGCTAAAGTCGTTTGACGACGTCTCACCCGCACATATCAACACCTGCCTTAATGGCGCCCTGGGCATGGTCATGGAGTGGAGCAACTCGCGGGAGCTGCTCGCCGTTGCCGGCACACTGCGCAGCAATAGCAACAGCATGGGCCTGGATGGCAAGCTGGAGCACGAGCTGGGCCTGGGCACGCCGGCCGGCAGCAGCTACTACAACAACCTGGTCAAGTTCTATACGGAGTCGGGCACTTGCCTGTACCAGGCCCACATACCCTGCAGCACGGCCACCGTGTCGGCCATCACCTGGGGCCACAACGACAAGCGGCTGTTCATCGCGACGGGCACTCAGGTGCACATTGCCTGGATCTCGCGACGCGTGGCCTCGCTGCAGCTGCTCTGCCGGCTGCAGATCCAGGCGAGCGTTGGCTCCGAGACGCTGTTGCCGCTGCTGCCGTTGCCCTCCAGAATCAAATCGCTCATTGGCAATCTGTTTGCTCAAACCATAAGAGTAAGTGAGATTTGCAATATACATGTGGGAAGACTTGAATCACTCTCTCTCCCTCTCTGCTCTCTCCTTCAGTGCTGTGTACCTGATCTGAAGTCGCTGCGTGATTTTGTGTCGCGCCCGCCGCTTTGCTCGACTCGGCTGCACTGCACCATGATACGGCATGACGATGACTCCAATCTCAGCTCCGGCACCTGCTACACGCTCTACCTGGAGTACTTGGGCGGGCTGGTGCCGCTGCTGAAGGGCAAACGCACCTCCAAAATACGTCCGGAATTTGTGATCTTCGATCCCCAGGTTAATGGTGAGTGCGAGGAGATGCAGCTACTAGTTATTCCACTTGGTGCTTATTCGCTTGCCTTGCAGACAACTCGCTGTATTTTCAATACGCCGCCGAGGCCAAGAGCAGCTCCGGCTCCAGTCAATCCACCACGACGGGCAACAGCGGACGCACCGACTCCTCGGACAGTGACTTCGATGAGCGTTCCTCGCGCTTCGGCTCGCCTCGCACACCGCGCAAGCGTCGTGTGCGGGCCAAGCGGCGGACGCAGAACGGAGATCGCACGGCCAGTGGCAGTGGGAGCAACACTCTGGATCCGGACAGCCTGGACGAGCTAGCGTATGTGGATACGCTGCCCGAGGTAAGGGTATAGACGAGTTGAGGCAGCTGGGGCTGTTTGGCATGCGTTAACTTCTGTGCACTTGCCTTTTCTCTCCAAGCAGGAAGTCAAGCTGGTGGAGGTGACCTCCAATATCTGGGGCACCAAATTCAAGATCCATGGACTTGCCAAAACCGTCCCAGCCAATTTAGGCCAAGTAACATATAAGACGTCCCTACTGCATTTGCAGCCGCGTCAGATGACGCTGGTGATCACGGAGCTGCGCGACGATTTCCCCACTGGACCCGATCCCAGCTTCAATCCCAATCTCTTCTCCGAGGACGAGGAGGAGCACAACTTCAATCATAATCATAATCACAATCATAATCACAGTGCGGATGCCGCAGTGCCTCACGTGAGCGTGACGAGCGCCGCTCCGGATGCTGCATCAGCAGCAGCAGCTGCAGCAACAGCGGCAACAATGGCCGCATTGAAGCCGCCAATTATGCCGCAGCGTCGCCTCAACGATGGCGCCTCGGCTCCGCCCATTGCGCCCATGTCGCCCCGCCCGAATCGCATACTGGCGCGGCATAAGAACTCGCACGGCTTGACTGTGAATGGGGCTGGCTCCGGCGGTGCGGTGGGGCTCAGTCCGCTGGCGCGCGCCGAGAGCTACGACGACGACTCGTCGAATGAGTCGCAGGAGGCGGCAACAGCCGCTGCCACTGCCACCACCGTGCTGCTGCATCAGGCGCCGCCGAGCTGCAGCTCCGCCTCGCCCTCGCCCAGCTGCAGCAAGAGCATCACGCGTCCGAAGACCATCAGCAGCTTCAAGAACAGCTACAGCCGCTCCAGCTCCAACTCGAGCTGCCAGTCGCGGCACGCCATCTCGCCGCTCTACTGCGACGGCTCGGTGCCCACGCTGCAGTCGCCCAAGAACGCCGTCGCCCCGTCGGACATCATATTCGAGCGACCCGCCGTGCCGGCTGCGACCACCCTGATGTCGTACTCGAGCAATGCGGACTACGCCAACAATGTGGTCCAGGTGAAGAACGCGCTCATGTCGGAGTCGATGCGCACGGCGAACAGCCACGTGAATCCGGTGCCCCTCAATCTGAACTTGAACCTGGAACGCATGGATGCGCGTGCCGTCAAGTGCTCCACAACGAAGCGGCGCGACATGCTCTACATAGACGAGGAGACGCAGTCGCCCACGCCGACAACCACCGCCAACACCTCAGCAGCCTGCTCCAGCATGAAGCGCACTCCGACTGTGGTTTCCATAGCGCCAGCGTTGCCCGACTCCATAACGCGCAGCTGCAGCGTCGGCTATCTGGACTCGGTGGCCATAACGCCCTCGGACGAGGCTCTGTCTGCTTTGCGCAAGGATGCGCCCAACAAGCGTCTGATCCTGGTGGACAAGCGTCGCAATCGCCATCGCAAGCGCCAGCAGCAGCAGGCGGACGCTCGCCGGCACAAGCTGCAGCAGACGGGCAAGTCGAAGAGCTTGGACTCCTGTGATCTGCTCTCGCTGCAAACGAAGCTCTCCAGTAAGGAGCACGAGCAGGTGGTGCGCAAGCTCCAGGAGATCTCCGACAGCAGCGCTTGCAGCAGCGCCGCCAACACGCTCTGCTTCAAGTGTCGCAACAACATGAATCCCTCCAGCGTCTGTAAACGTTGCCAGCCCTCGGTTAGTCTGGCGCTGGACGAGATCACCACGATGAGTGTAGAGCCCGCCAAGGAGCCAACGCCAGTTGCTGCAGCTGCAGCTACACCTGCTCCGGCAGCCGTGCCAGTCAAGGCGCCGCCCAAGAAACGCTTTGATGTCATCACCAGCTTCACGGACAGCCCGCTCTTCACGCGCAAGCATCGCTTTGGGTACGGACGCAGCAAGGATCTGGCGCCGGGCAGCAGCACTGAGAACTCCACACCGCTGCTCGCTCGCAAGCACGAGAACAGTTTCAGCTTTGTCAAGCAGCTGTCCGAGGTGCGCTGGCGCCGCAAGGAGACGCCCGTCAGCCAGCAGCAGCAGCAACAGAACCAGCAGCAGCAGCAGCAACAGCAGAGCTCCAGCAATGCCAGCACACTGGAGCGACAGCAGTCCGAGACGAGCAGCACAGCTTGTGGCACGGTGGAGGCGACGCCCGTGGAGGCCAAGGCATCGGTGTCGCTGCATACGCAGGTGGGAACAGGGATTGAGTCAGGGATTAACGGCTATATATATGGTTGAGCATTGCATTCATTTTAGGCCTTGACCACTTTGGAGAACATCATCAGTCGTCTGCGGGATCTGGATGAGGGCCGCTTGACGCCGCCGTCGACGCCGCAGCGCTTGCCCCGTAGCTCGCCCGCCTCGCCGGCGGCCAGCAAGAAGAACAAGCGCCAACAGAGCAACTCACCCATTCGGCACATACTCAACTCGCCGCTGCTGAATCGCAGGCAGCGCAAGAAGCCGAGCATCATCGAGAGCTCCGACGACGAGGGCAATCAGACGAACGGCTCGGGCGAGGAAATGGGCGGCAGCACGGGCAACAGCAATGGCAAACAGTATCGCGACCTGGAGACATTCCAAAAGGCGCAGCTGCGCCAGAAGGTAAAGCTCGAGTAAAATGCGTCCAGTACAAATAACTAATCGAAATTTCCTTCCTCTCTCTCTTTTTCTTTGGGGCAGCTGAAGCGGGGCAAGATCGAGCCAAACGGCAGCGCCAGCTGTGCCAATCCGGCGCCGGTGCGACGCGAGTTTGTGATGCACAACAAGGCGCCCATGTGGAACGAGATGAGCCAGGTGTACCAGCTGGACTTTGGCGGACGTGTCACCCAGGAGTCGGCCAAGAACTTTCAGATTGAGTTTCGTGGCAAGCAGGTGGGAATTTTGGATTATCAATATGAATCTCAATCGATTGATTTTGCTATACATGGTAGATTAACTATACATTCCAATCTCTTGCAGGTGATGCAATTCGGACGCATCGATGGCAATGCGTATACCTTGGACTTTCAATATCCATTTTCGGCGCTGCAGGCGTTCGCCGTGGCGCTGGCCAATGTGACGCAGCGCCTGAAGTAATATACCAACTGTTGTATTATCGTAAAGCATTACAGTCACAAACCCACACCCACACACACAAATATATATGTACAACTATATAGTACTTATAGCACGCCGCCAGCTAATGCCGCAGCAGCAGCAGCCGCCGATCGCAATTGCTTTAATATGCATATTTTTTATACTATACTAAAGCAGGTTAAGCAGCGCCTTGGCTTTATCATTTGTAAATATGTATATGTACTTAATTGTATTGTGGTCTTTAGGTTTCTGAATGCCATACATATTATTGTGTAATGTTGCATCCCCGAGAGGATGCGACCTATGAACTCATACCACCATTTAATTGAAGGTTTAGCAATTTGATATTGGTGTGCAACAGAAATGAAGCAGATGAAAAACTCACAGTCCGATCCATTTTTGTGCAATATTTGTATGACAAACTTTTTGGCTTAAGTATATATAAATAGCAAAACCAAATGAAATGAAATGAAATGATCGATGATGTAATTGTTAAGCAGCATTATTGATCTATGATCTATTTTTAAACGTATGTGAATGAAAACGATTTTTCAGTCGAATTTTTTAAACTAGTTTGTACAAGAGCAGCCTTTTTTGCATTGAGAGCTTCGTTTGTTTTCGTTAATTCCTTCTATACTTAGGTGCAATAACAGCAATTCCTTTTGTTAACAATTCTTAGCATATAAGAAGATATCATTAAAAACAACAAATCATATATTTAACTATATATGTGTGTATACAGCAAATATCGCTTGAGAAAAACAAAACGTAAGAAATCGCTTGGCCTAACATTCTAAAAAAAAAAAAAAAAAAAAAAAATGGATGTGTGTACGAATACTTAATGCTAGCATATTTTTTATATACGATAAATTAATTGTGAATGCTAAAAATATAAGAAAAAACAAGAAAAAAAAAAACATTCTTACACAAGAAATTTTGTGCTTTTCCTCTTAAAACTCTTTTTTGTAGTTAGGCTTAATTTCAAGACAAATTCGTTATTGTAATTGTTGTGAATATTGAAATAAACTCAAAAACTCGAATCGTAAACGATTTCCGATGTGCAACTATTTAAATAAATGATATATATATAATATATGTGAATAAACAAACAACAGCAACACAAAAAAAAAGTAAACAAAACAAAACTATAATTTTTCTAATTTACATATAATACAAGAGATTGACTTGTGGAATATTGCGTCTTTTATGCTTTATGCCTTTTCCTTTTGCTGCTCTATTTCGATTTCAGCTTTCTCCCAATCCGGTATGGACTTTTCCTTTATGCTCCAGGCATTCGTTTTCGGACCTTTTGTTTCAGCTACAGAGGAATAGAGAATAGATTTTAGTATATATAAGTAGATAAAAACATAAATCATTTATAAAATGTATTGTTTACAAGTCTTGAAGCGTTTGACGCCCTCTTCCATGTCCTCCACCATGGACGCAGAGACTTGCATTATCTCATTGTTGATGGCAGCACGGAAACCGGGTCGTGCGTAGACATTCGCATTTTCCAGCGTCGCATTTCTATCGTGCTGCAGCGAGGCCATGGGGAACTTGGCAATGGAGAAGGCTAAATTGACGGCCTGGCCCAGGGCTGTGCCCGTGGCCACGATTCGATTGACCAGGCCAATGCGTAGCGCTTCATTTGCATACACTCTTCTACCCGTCTCTATGATATCTATAGCATTCGAGTAGCCAACTGCAGCAGCCAGGCGCACAGATCCACCGTCGCTGAGCGGCACACCCAAGCGACGATTGAAAAAACCTAATACGGCGGTGTCTTCCATGACGCGCAGGTCGCAAAGCAATGCCAATTCGAGACCGCTGGCCACACAAAAGCCGCTGATGCCGCATATAATGGGCTTGCGTAGGTGCCGCCTGGTCGGACCCACCGAGCCCTCATGGCGCAACAGAAAGTTGAGACTGCCGCGTTGCGCCTCCGCTTCCAGTTCTTTCAGATCATATCCAGCTGAGAAGGAGCCACCCACGCCGTACAGCACGCCCACAGGTGATGTGTCATCCACCTCGAATTGATGGATGGCTTCGCTCAGCTGTGCCGCTGTTGCTGCATTAATGGAATTGCGCTGCTGCTCCCTGTTGATGCCGATTAATGTGATGTTGGCATCTTTTTCGACCAGTATGCTGGGTGCTTCACTCTGCTCTGTGTCCGCATAATGCGCCGCACTCAAAGAAAATTTCTGTGAGCTCCTAAATAAATCTGTGCAGCTCTTAAATCGACTGAAAGTAAACAATTTATGCATTTCAGCTAGCAAAACAAAACTCGAAGTGTTGTGCAGCGTTAAAATCGACGATTTCGTTGACGCGCATTTCAACACTGCTTGTCAGTGGCAACAGCAACGCTGTCAAAAGAAGGCGTGTATGTGTGCACGAGTGTGCGTGTGTTGGTGTTGGTGTAAAACAAAAAGCGGATTAAAAGAAAATACAAACGCTGCGCTGCCAATTAAATATTTATTTATTTCTATATAAAAATAATAAGAAAATAGTGTTAAAGTTAGTCTAATCATCGGCGTGTGTGTGAGTGCCAACGCGTTGCGTGAGTGCGTGTGTTGCATACAAATACAAAATACAAGTGATATAAGAAAAGTACAAAAGAGCTCGATTACAATACGCGACTCCAATCTGCAGCCGCAGACAAAGGATAGTTAAGAAACGGTATTAACCTGGTTATATACACATACATCAATACGTATGCAGACATATGCAGATATAAGCATGTGTGCCATAAACTGCACGCAAAATGTGAACGTGCGGCAGCTGCTGGCCTGCGGTTGCGGCGCCTGCTGAGAGCAAAACAACGACAGAGCGAAAGTGACGAATGTCCGGCGCTGCAGGCTGCAGCAGCGCTCGACCATAACAATAAGAAAGGCATAGAAGATAGTAGTAAAGGGTGGAAGATTGAGGAGGGACAGGGAGAAACAGAGAGACTGCTGACTGCTGGCTGCTCCCTGCTTAGCCAGCACTCGCATTGCATGTGAATATCTCCTCCGCTGCTTTTTCAATGCAACTGTAATTGAATTGGCATTACAAATTACGGTTAATATCCAGCCTGTCTGTATCTAAGTGTGTGTGTGTATGTGTGTGCGAGTGTGTTGGGGTCGCCAGCGATGCCACCGCCTGCATTATTAGTGCTTAATTGTGTCTATTTTTAACAATGTGCGTCCGCCCAACATTTGGGCGCATTCTCTGTCGGCTGTTGGTTGGCCTGTGCCCCTCCAGCCCGTTGCGCCGCCTATTCAGTTAGGCTGCTCCATAGGCGCCCCCGAGGGCTCTTGTCGACCACACTATTGTCATTTTGCTAGCTTACATACAATATGCGTGCGTGCGTGTGTGCGTGTGTATTTGTGCGCGCGTGTGTGCCTCAGTCAGAGAGAGTGAGAGTGAGCGAGAGGTAGAGGGTATCTGAATTTTGTGATGAAATATGTAACGTGTTGAAACGGGCATCCCCGAGAGTGCAAATGCACCATATAAATTTATGAATAATTGATGATGATCAAAGCGTATTAGAGTCTTTACAGTAGTGGACAAAGATTTAGAAACACTTTGAGGTTATACATATGTATCTATAATTTTAAATTATAATGTTAACAATGAGTATAAGGAGTAACAACAGCTTTACAATAGTGAGCTTAGAAACTAAAGTCATCACTAAGTAAGGGTATTCGTGAGTTTGTGTTGCCTCATTTCTGGTATTATTATTTACTATGTATGCTGCTGTCTTTAACCGCATCATGATCTATTTTCGTAAATTTTATTTGCGAAAAAGTAAAACGAACTCTCAAAGCGTGTATAAAAAAACTTTCGTTTTATTATGTTTTACGGCTGGGACACACCTTTTGATGGGCAGCCTTTGATCGTATATATAGATATACACACTAATCGTAATTAAATTGCCAGTGTGTGTGCAGATATATACATACATCTATATATATCTTGCACTGTCAGATAAGATATAGAGAGTTGGGTATATCGAGTTTATTGCCTCAAGTACAGCTTAATTAATTGAATTAAATGCGCACGCATTCATTCAAAGCGAGATATTCTTACGAGACAAAAGAAGAAAAGAAAAGAACGCTCACAATCACTATCACATTCACATTCACATTTCGCTCTTKCAGCAAATACAGTCACGACTCGACGATGTCAACCGGAAGACCCATAAAATGTGTCGTCGTTGGTGACGGTACCGTCGGAAAGACTTGCATGCTAATCTCCTACACCACAGACAGTTTTCCCGGTGAATATGTGCCTACAGTGTAAGTGTAACCCTCGAGTTAAGCTGATCATTGCTAATTATAATCGATAATCTCTTCTGCAGCTTCGATAACTACTCTGCACCCATGCAAGTGGACACAATACAAGTATCGCTGGGTCTATGGGATACAGCCGGCCAGGAGGATTACGATCGCCTGAGGCCGCTCTCCTATCCACAGACAGATGTATTCCTGATATGCTACAGCGTTGCGAGTCCCTCATCGTTCGAAAACGTCACCTCCAAATGGTATCCGGAGATCAAACACCATTGTCCCGATGCGCCCATCATCTTAGTGGGTGAGTAGCTATCGACTCTATCACCTCTTACTTCTGTCATAAATTGCTTTTACAATTTTTGCGCAGGCACAAAAATCGATTTGCGTGACGATCGCGAAACGTTGAGCGGGCTGGCCGAGCAGGGTTTGACGCCGCTTAAGCGCGAACAAGGTCAGAAGCTGGCAAATAAAATACGCGCTGTTAAATATATGGAATGCTCCGCCTTAACGCAGCGCGGCCTCAAGCAGGTAAGTGCGGACACACCTCAGCGGCAAATGTCATCGACAGATGATGATGGCGATTTCCATTCCATTTACCTAGGTGTTCGAGGAGGCGGTGCGCGCGGTGCTGAGGCCAGAGCCATTAAAGCGACGCCAGCGAAAGTGTTTAGTTATGTAAATAAGCAACGAGGAAACCGACTGCGGAGAATACTCAGCAGAGGAGAAGCGTAAACAGTGAGACAGAGAGACGGAGAACCAGAGAATAACAACATGAAGCGACCCTCATCTCTAACTAAGCGTGAACAAATCAACAATCAGCTGACGAACAAGAAAGAGAGAAGAAACTTGATTCATTGAGCATTATCATTTCCTTTAACATAAGCAAATAGTTTTGATTCTGTTTAAGTTAAAAATTTGAGTTAGATCATCCATTTGAAAATCGCATGGCACAAAAAGAACAAAATGAAAAACAAATAACAAGAAATCCCTCCTTATTAGAACTAAAGTGTAACAGGATGAAAGCAGCAGTTAAACCATATATAATCCATATTGAAATCTAGTCAATTGAATCGAATCGAATCAAATGTATTAAATAACAGCAGCAGCAACAAATTATAACGAATTGAACTAAACATAAACATAAACATAAAGGAAACTTTGGTTTCGCATATCAGAGAATATTTAAGGAATTCCTACATTGTTTGTTTATTATGGAATGTATTATAATTATAAAGTAGCCCGGCGTTTCCTAGTTTTCAACAATAACCAAAATACTTGACGATGAGCTCTTAGAGAAACAAATACTTGGAAATGAAAAAAAAAATAAGAAATGAAAAAGAGAAAAAAAAACGCGTTTATACGATATTTTAGCTTAAAACAAAAGCATTTTTTCTACTATATGTAATAATCTTAATTAATTGATGCTCTTTTGAAACTTGTAACAACTGTTGTTTATTTTAATTTATAATAACTTATTTATTGTCCCTAACTTTAATAATGCAATGTAAAAACAAAAAACAAAAAAACAAAGGATAGCGAAAATGTGTAAATGGAAAAGGCAAAAACTGCATTTAAATGTGACTTGACTCGAATCAAAAAAACAAAGCACACACTTTTTGTAAGCAACTCGAATAGTAAAGGGCGAGCAACAATTTTTTATAACAATTATATAAATATATATATTAAAGAGAAACAAACTAACGAAAACTCATGTAAATTTAAAGCAAAGATCAATCTACTTACGAGAAATCGTTACATATAAATATATAGTATATATATACAAAATGCTGTAATTATAATAAAATCAGAAAAAAACTGTTGGATTTTGTGTGCTCAACCATTGCATAGTTATTAAATATTTCATTTATTTATTTAAATGCTACGTTTCTATCGATTTGTAAACAATTAACAAATTTTTAAGTTTTTTCTTGGTTTTTTCACTGTGCCGTTAACAATTCCACACACACATATATATATATAAACATATATTTATATATGTATATAGAGGAGATCTCTCGGGGTGCAGCGTGTTCTTGGTGGTGCTGTGCCTCAATATAAACGGAAGGGCTTTGGATGAACTGCCTGGCCGGGCCTCTTTTTGGCGCCCGCACTCTTGGGACGCTTCGGCTCCGAGTTGAGCGACGGCATCGATACGGATAGGACGAGGCACTCCGCCGGCAAGGACATGGATGAGGTTAAAGTTGTGGCGCGCTGTATGCGCGGCGCTTTCCAATACTGTGTGAGAAGAGTAGCACGTTATTAGAGTGTTGCAAAACGCCATTAGCCAAATCTAAAGTTAATTCAAAAAGAAATCAATAACTAAAATAGAAACTTACAATTTACTTTGTTTAGAGTTTCAATTCAATTTGTTTCAGTTTTTTTTTCTCTCACTTTTACCAATGCGATCCAAATGTGGTTTGATACGTGCGTCGTGTGTGTCTGTGTAGCATTTGATACGCTTGCGGCGTGGGCGTGGGCGTGGTCGTTGCATTGCATACATACGTATATAGCTATATATATATATCCAAATTATCTGCCAGAATTGAAAGATACTAAGTGCAAACAAAACGCCAAGTTCTTTTTCAGATATATATGTATTTTTTTTCCCTTTTTTTTTTTTTTTTAATGAAAAAAGTTTTGTTTTTATTACGTTTGAAATTTGCATTTTTTTTTTACATTTTTCGTAAAACTGGGAAAGTGTAAATAAATTGTGAGAATGATGCATTTTTTTGTTTGACTAATCATTAAGTTACAAATTATAAAATTTTGTTA